TTTTGATTTACTAGATACAATTTCACGGGTTTTTTGACCTTACTTCAAGCCCGTGAAATAAAACTTTCCAATCAAAGTGTGATGGTCTCACTCTTGAAATAAAGGAATAAACTCAGGAATAAACTCTTAATCATTTTTCTTTATTGAAAATTAACATTTATAATATAAATAATCTTTTTAACCGCTCAGTCTTTGAAAAAAATAAAGTCTTCCATATTCTTCCTTCGGCTTTCTGTTGAGAAAACATGGGTAAAATTAAGATCATACACCAAGTACGATTCATGGGGAAGAATGCAATTAGAGCGTACTAAGGTTTTTATCATATGACCCGTATTTCCGCCCTACGCGCGCTCTCGATCACTGAAACCTTTGGAAAATGGTCACGTGATGGGGTCCGTACGCCTTTTCGCGACAGGTCCGTACAAACCCGTATTTTCCCGACTTGAAGTTCCGCGCGCTTTTATTTATTTTTTTACATTAAAAGACGTTGTCATATTATAAAATGCTTATTGACTGAGTTAGGTCGGGCCGTACGGGAACATATTTGGCTCTCGGTCATTTTTACGGACCTCGCTGCGCTCGGTCCGTACGTATAACCTCGAGCCAAATATTTTACCGTACGGCCCTCCCACTCAGTCAATAAGTACATAGTATTAGTATGATATCTACTTCACAAGTTTTATGACTTCACTCTATTGTATAATCATCACTATTTTGCATTAATAAGTATTATTTGTTTCACGGATTGGGTGCATCTATTTTACTTCAGAAGTACCATATAATAACTATTGGCCTACCGCTCGCTTACTTCTCGCGCAAAAGAAATCTTAACTCATAAAATTTGGCTAACGTTTGCACTCTTAGGAAACTAGCGACCGATGTATACATCTGTTGGTGTAGCTGGCGGAGCTCGTTTCCTCTGAAGTCTTTTTGATATCAATTTCGGGATATCTTGTGAYATTACATGAGGATCGCTCATTCGCGTACGTTTTCCAGGGGGCAGTTTAGGAAAAGGGATAGTTGGCCCTCTGTTTCTCTTTACATCCAAGCTTCCAATTTCTTCTGGTAAATTGAAGTCATCTGCAGAAGTCTTAGTAAAGACAAATAATACAAGCAAGATTGCTACGAAATGGAAAGATCCCATGTTCATCTCTTCAGGAGGTTACCGTACGTTTCAGAGGATTGTCGGTCTACAACGGAGTGTATATCTGGCTTGTTTCCCATTTATATGTTCTCACACAGGACTCGTCCTGTGAAAACAATTGACATTTCGCAACTATTTTGGCTGATAAGGTAATCACCCATTTTGACGATGATTACGGGTTTGGTGATCGGAACTTTGATGTTTCCCTGTAGTACGCAGGTGCAAGGATCTATAAATGATATAACATCCTCATCTAGATTCAATCMTAATKGGAACCCGAGGTGGGTGAGACAATGAGTYCAGAAGTTGAAGAGTATTACCTTTTTCCGCATGCCGCGGTTGATTTTGTAATTTTCTGAGACGGCAACTTTATTGCAATTTTTTCTTATATTTCAGTAATTATCGTGATGATCAATAACATGCCTTTTACATTAAGAAAAGACAATCTTCTTATCACTAAATTTAGTTTAAACACCTGCACATATGGTGTAATATCATCCTCTTCCTTCCTCGATCACTATCATCAATAAGTAAACACTGAACAGTTTATAACTGACAAATATGAAGTTGATATGTAGTTGGTGCGGATGTGACRATGTCTCTGTATCAACGGACGCGTTTCTAACGTCAAAACAGTAGCAAACAGCAYCAACAACAACAACAGCAACAACAGCTGCAGCAGGAGCAACCGCAACGACAACAACAACTACAGAAGCAAGAGCAA